AACACGATTTCATTCCGGCATTAAATCTCGTCAAAAACCTCTCAGTTTGCCTTTTAACAGCCTATTAGACTTGCAGAAACACATGTACGTGTTTACTGTATACAGTACAGAAACTGATCGTCTCAAACTGACCTTTCCATTAGTGTTAGTTGATAAATTGCTTACATCGCTGGTGACATACTAGTAACTGATCGGATGTTGATGCTTCATTGGTTCAGTGGTCGGAAGAAACTCTAACATACGCCCTCTAAAAGTAGGAAAGACAGCCACGATGAGTGGAACTAGCGCACCTGTACGGATATGTAGTTATGAACAAGAAAGGCTACAGAAAAAAGTTAACTCATTCTGAAAAGCCAACAGTAGTTGATCCTAATTATTTTGATGATTTCAAATATTAATATATAGCCAGTGCCTTTGGTACATTTGTGACGACCTTGGTCTCTTACATAAACTAAGTCTCAATTAACAATATGGATACTAGTATGATAGTCAGGAACATATGGCATTACAATCAGCAACTATGTTAGCCCCATTTCTATACTAGAACTTAGCCATTTCTGAACGATTGACTCACTGAAACATCTACCGACATTATATTGCCGACAATATAGTCTCAAACAGAAGTATATCTACCACATACAAAGTCTACCGGATTATATCATATTGTAGGGAGCGACAAGTGGAACCCATGTATATGTAACTTAAAAGGTTGTTTATTATGCTCAATTGAGCGAAAGATATGGCAGGATAGTCGAAAGCTTTGAAAAATCAGGTATTGCAATAGCTAGCGGCTAGATTCCAGAATCACGTGTATAATACTCTTCAGCTGATGCCTTTTGTCATGTCACATATCTGACCAGGGAAGTAGGATATTTGAAATATCTTTCATGATGAGAATTAGATAACGCCATGCCCACACACGTGGTTCATCTGATTGAGTGAATATACTCTGGTCTGTTAAGCTCCTGTCATACATTCAGGACAGTAGCCGGCCATAGCCGACCTTGCTCCCGATCTACTGTTAAACCATGATTGGTGGGGGGTCGGTAGTGTTCGACTATGTGTGATAGGGGCTTCATGAATTATACGAAAAAGGCGAATCCCACACATTGCAACATCCCACACAATGTCAACAAAGCAACATGAATTAGAAGCGTACTACAGAAATGGGTAATGGCCTACCATAGAAACATTGTACAGAACTGTACATGTATACTGGTATTAAAAAAAGGCAATTGTGTTTTATTGTTGTAACATGGTGTGGCTGTTCCCACACAAAGCATGCCATCAAATCAACACTCATTCTCAGTACAACTATTCCCGAAGGTGTGGCGTATTACCTATAATGGCATGAACACCATACTACAGTATTGTATACTGGTATTAAAATGCAGTTGTGTTTTATTGTTGAAGCATGGTGTGGCTGATCCCACACAAAGCATGGCATCAACAAATCAACATTTATTTCAGTACTTCTATTTCAGAAGGTGTGGAATATTACAGAAATGGCCTACTATAAACACCTGACAATATTGTAAACTGGTATTAATTAAAAGGCAATTGTGTTTTCTTGTTGCAGCATTGTGTGGCTGATCCCGCCAGTCTTCGGGTTCATCTTCGTGCCTCTGCTCGGCTCGGTGAGCGACCACTGCCGCTGCCGGTGGGGCCGCCGCCGCCCCTTCATCCTGGCGCTCGGCCTCGCCATCATCCTCGGCTTCGCGCTCTTCCTGAACGGCGACGCTCTCGTAACGCGTAAGTCGCTTCAAAACTATTCTATTTAGCCCCTGTCATGCTTTAAAAAAGCGACTGGAAAGACTAGTGTAGCAATGTAGTTGTTATAGACAGACCACATCTGTAACTGATTAATTGTGAATGAAGGACTCAGATCAGAGTCTGAGAAGACAGTTCTAGCAGGCAGCCACAGAGTGCAGACCTCTTCCATAGCCTCTGCCTTCATACCTTACACATGGTGGCAGCGGTGGGATTGGCCAAATGGACAGATAACATGCCAGGGCAGTGGTAAACTGTACTCCTTTCGCGGACTGGGCTTTTTCAAGTACCAATGTGTTCTGTACAAGCTAAGACTACTCTCTTTACGTAGTGATCGCAGGGGACGTGAGTAACAGCCCCAAGAGAGCCGACCGGAACACCATGCGCACTGCCACCCTGGCCGTCAGCATGTTCGGCGCCATCTTGTTCGACTTCGCCGCAGACTTTATTGAGAGTCCGATCAAGGCTTACCTGCTGGACAACTGTGTGGAGAGGGACCGTAGGCGGGGTCTGGACATGCAGGGAGCGCTCTCAGGTATGTGTATTCTTCTCTGAAGAATTTTCATTCTTATAAAAAAGTAAAGTTTGGCAGAGCTCCATGGAACGTTTTGATTTCAAAACGTGGTCCTCAAGAAGTTGAGGGAAACAAAAATGTATCCGCAAAGTCTCCTGTGAATAAGATCACGTGTCTGTAACTCTCGCGAGACTACGTTTTGAAGTGATTGGTCATTAATTATCCTGATGAAGGCGACAGTGGTCGCTGAAAATTTGGTCTCTGTTTAATCTTTGTGTTGGAATTAAGTTCAACATTTTACTATGATTACTACCAAAAAAGATGAACTTTCATGATAAAAAAGCATTATCATTGCCGTTGTGCTGCGAATTTTTGTCTTACTTTCACGAAAGGTATCTTAAACATATAGTCATTTTTCTGACAGGTTTGGGCGGCTTTCTCGGCTACGCGACTGGTGCGATCGACTGGATAGACCTCGGCATTCCCCCGGGCTCAGAATACCACGTCATCTTCGGCATTTCGTGCTCCGTGTTCACCCTCTGCCTGCTGCTGAACCTGGTCAGCATACGGGAGGTCCCGCTGGACGACCTGACGGCAAACTCGCCGGACAATGGTGACAGAAAGCCGGGGAGAGAGGAGCCAGTCCCGCCTCAGAACCCCGAAGCCGTGGTCGCCCTGGACCCCAAGTATGGCGTCATGTACATGAGCGATGATCCTGATCTTCTCCAGGACGTGATGACCTGTGATGACGGGCTACAGAAGGTGCTCGTCACGACCGTGTTCGGGGGAGGGGATCAGTCTGACGACGGGTACGGCAGCATCGCGCAGTCGGAGGAAGGTAGCATCGACACCGCGGAGGACACAGACACTACCGAGCTGGCCCAGCGGCTGTCCATCACCGCCTACTTCAGATCGATCCTCCGGATGCCCAAGGAACTGGCCTGCTTGTGCGTGTCCCACTTCCTCGGCTGGGCGAGCTTCCTGTCCGTCATGTTGTTCTTCACCGACTTCATGGGCCGGGGGGTGTACAAGGGGAACCCGAGCGCCCCGGTGGACAGTCCTGACAGGGTCCTGTACGAACAGGGCGTGATGATCGGCTGCTGGGGGCTCACCATCAACGCAGCCTCGTGTGCTCTCTACTCAAGTAAGCATCAGATTCCCTATCACTACACTTCTACCTCACATATTGGGGTCATCCTAACAATACTTTCTGTATCTGTATGGCTGGTATTTTCGGCGTAACACAACTTTACGATTCGAACTCACGTCAAACACTATAAAGGAATGTTCAGATGTTTGTTTCATGTTCAGGTGTTTGTCAGTATGTGTGTGTGTGTGTGTGTGTGTGTGTGTGTGTGTGTGTGTGTGTGTGTGTGTGTGTGTGTGAGCGTGTGTGTGTGTGTGTGTGTGTGTGTGTGAGTGTGACACTGTGTGTGTGTGTGTGACACTGTGTTTTTTTTGTGTGTGTGTGTGAGTGTGACACTGTGTGTGTGTGTGTGAGTGTGTGTGTGTTCGTGTGCGTGTGTGTGTGACACTGTGTGTGTTTGTGTGTGTGTGAGTGTGACACTGTGTGTGTGTGTGTGTGTGTGTGTGTGTGACACTGTGTGTGTTTGTGTTTGTGTGTGTGTATGCGTGTGTGTGAGTGTGACACTGTGTGTGTATGACACTGTGTGTGTTTGTGTGTGTGAGTGTGACACTGTGTGTGTGTGTATGACACTGTGTGTGTGTGTGTGTTTGA